GCTTATTACCATTGTTCCTTGTCACCCCAGGTGGTGCTGGGGAGAAAAGGGCTCTGCCTATTTGCTGTTGATCTCCCCTGATGAGCTTGTAGGCAGCCACCAGGTCCCCCCTCAGCCTCCTCTTGCTGAGGCCTCAGTCTCTCCTCGTAGGGCCTGTCCTGCTGCCCTCCCACCAAGCGGGTGGCCCTCCTCTGAACCCTCTCCAGGCTGGCCACATCCCTTTTGAAGTGCGGCGCCCAGTACTGGACACAGTACTCCAACTGCAGCCTGACCAAAGTCACATAGAGGGGGGGGGAGTATCACCTCTCTGGACCGGCTTGAGATGCATCTCCGGATGCATGACAAGGTATGGCTGGCCTTTCTAGCTGTGGTCTGGCATTGGTGACTCATGTTCATCCTGGAGTCAATAATGACTCCAAGATCCCTTTCCACCTCTGTGCTTTCAAGAAGGGAACTCCCTAGCCTGTATGTATGCTGTGGATTCCTTCTCCCAAGGTGCAGCACCCTGCATTTATCTATGCTGAACCCCATCCTATTCTCATCTGCGCACTTTTGTAGTCTGTCTAAATCTATTTGCAGCCTCTCTCTCACCTCAAGTGTGTCTACCTCGCCCCACATCTTAGGGTCATCAGCAAACTTGGACAGTTTGCTGATGACTACCTACTATTCTTAATACCCTATGCAAACATGAACTAAATAGCTCTAATATTTGATTACAAATAGGGAGGTTCAGATATAAATGCTATCAACTGCTGATGCAACTAAAAAAAGAGAGAGAGAATGAGTCCTTAAATGTAGAATCTGAGTTATAGGACTGCGTGCAGACGTTAAAATTAAAACAACCAAACAAACAAACAAACAAACAATGAGCTTTACCAGAAGCAGCAGTGCATTACTCCAACCTGGCTCTTCAGCATCTGTATAGATTGGGCACTTCAGTGGGGTTTTTTGGCGCTTTTATCTAATAGCTGATTCAATCAGCTATTAGATAATAGCACCAAAAAAGCCCCACTTAAGAACCTGATCTATACAGATGTTGGGTGAACTGGGTCCAGCTAACACACTGCCTCTTCTGGACATGTGCTGGGCTCAGCACGGAAGCACACCAAGTTTTAAGTAAAGCTCTGTTTCTTTGTTTGGTTTTGGGGTGTGTTTTTTTTTAACATCTGCAAGTAGCCATAATGCTTACCTCAAGTAAGAACTTTTTGCCCAGAGAAGCTTTCCATCTATTGATTCCTCTGTGAAATCCTATGAAATATGAACTTTCATTTCTACTCAGGAGAATTTTTATAAACTTTTCTCCGATGCCTGATGAAGGGTGTTTGTACCCAAGAGCTTGCAATTAAAGATTTTTTTTTTGCAAAAATCTTGTTGGTCTAATAAAAGGTATCACCTCTACCATGAGCCCCGAATGCTTTTAACTCAAGTGAATGAGTTTTAAAATGAATCTATTCTATCCAGCTAATGAAAGCTCTAATAAAAATATGGAGTTGCAGCACTAAAAAGAGAATTGAGTTAAGGTGTTAATTTTACTTCTTCTGTCAACTTTTCTATATACCATATGATTTCATAAAGGCAAGACAAAAGGCAGAAATAAAGTCTATTTCATAAACAGTTCTAAAGCTTTAAACACCCTGGGTCAAATTAACAAACTGTTCCACTGGATATCTGGATGGTAACATAGTACACAGGCAAGCAAACATTTTTTTTTCTAAATTTAACTCAGTTTGATCAAATACTACTCATATAATCTTCTGTATGCTCACTTTTCCATGAATTTCCCTTCATTCTCACTTCTCCTTAGGGGAACATTAAGGGTAGACAGCATAGTACACACTGATTCTGCTTACATAGAACTAATACTATTCTACAGCAAAGTAATAACATGCACTCAAATGCATGTGCAGACTGTGACCAGGGCTAGCTGGGGCACAAGGGTGCTATAGTGCAGGGGACTCTACCCTGCCACCATGGCCCAGCCACTGCCCCTACTCCGCTCTTTTAAAAATATTTCCTGTTTTGGAAAAGAAAGCAACAATTGTTTCATGAGAATATGCTTAGGGTCTCACTTACAACTAACATTTTTTCAACATGTATTAAATGTTAGAGGTGCACCAATACATCAGTCTGATATTGGATCAACATTGATATAAAGAAAACTGATCATATCAGAAGTCAGCCTGATGTGGCTGATAATTTGGGCAATAAATGCCCATGCGTGCGCAG